GCGTCGGGGCTGGCTTCAGCCCACGCACTAAGTTTGTTTCGTTTGCACTAGTGCAAAGGGAGGGCAGCATGTGCGTGGTTCTCTCGGTTTGCTGTCGCTTCTTTTCTTCTCAAATACCGCGAGGCACCCAGGGTCACCACAGCGGGCCCAGGCTGGGTGAAGGCACGGGCTTGGGTGCTGCGGCTTTGGGCTCGTCCTCGAGCAGTCCCGGTGTGAAGGGGCAAAGGTGAAACCGCTCTGCTACGGAGCTGTTTGCTCAGGAGGGAGCTGCAGGGCTGTTCCTAAACTCCTCCTTACTGATGCCCTGGTTTGCATGAAGAAATTGCTTTAGAAAGCCAGATTTGACCCTTTAACATCGAAGAAAGAGGGGGGTGCGCTCTGCTGGGAGCCCTAAGGGGATTTGGGGGGAAAGAGCCCCGTTCTAGGGCATGTGGTGCAACGTCCCCTTATCGCAGCACTCTTGCAGTCCTTGCTCTGCATCCCCTGCCCTCCTTCCCCGGCTGTGAGGCAGCCATGGGGCACGCGATGGCTCTGTGGCGGTGAGACCCCCAGTGCCCTCGTCCGACCAGGTGCCCGGCGTGGGCCAGGGGAGCCTGCAGCCCTTGGCTGGTGGCAGCTTCTCCTGCACATGGGGCTCGTAACAAGGGCCCTGGCTCCCCTGGCCTCGCAGCAGGGCTGTTATCTCCCCTCTGCAATTCCGCTGGGTGCCCATCTCCTCCTTGCCCAGAGATGGCAGTTCCTGGAGCTGCCGTCTCTATCTGTCACATACAGAGTCAGGTGGCTCTGCTTCCACCCGGTCCCCCCTCCTCTTCCTCCTGTGAGATTAACTGTTTAAAGCATTTTTTGGATTCTTGAGGTGGGTTTTGTTCACTGAGCCCTTTGTTCTCAATCACTGCCTGCCTGGAGCCCTCTCTGAGCAGCCCAACCGCTGCGCTGGAGCTGCCGACTCCAGTTCACCCAAGGGCTGTCCCCTTCCCTGCAAGTAAGGACTGGAGCAGCAGCTTTCCAGGGCTAAAAATTACTTGGCAAGTGATGCCATGACACTGCCAGCGTGCCCGTCAGCTGGTCTGCATGCCCTGCAAGCACCATCTGATTTTTTTTATACTGTGTTTTTATACGTATAAGCCTGTAAGTAACTGAGAGGTGCCTTTTCCCCCATCCCGAAGCAGAGGTGATTGCTTGCGGTATGAGAGACTCGGTTCAAGCCCTGGACTGAATGCGATGCCTCTACATTACGGGTGACCTATGCGCTGGGGTGGCCTGGTACAGACTGAGAATTTGGCTCAGCATTAATATCTGAAGGGTCTTGAGTGTGTAAAATAGGTGAACATCTCAAATTAAAGGTTTTCCAGAAGAATGGAGCTATCTCCTGCCCAGCTCCATTGCTGACTGCTGTTGTAAGTGCTGGCCTAAAACTTTCTCCCCTGGACTGCATCCTGGGATGCTAAAAGTGAGCCATGTCTGCTCTCCAGAGATTGCCAGGGCAGTGAGGTTTATTGCTGGGGAATCCCTCCTGGGATGGGACTGGGGACTGCAGGGCTGCTCCCCTGAGACAGGTCCCATCCTTGTGTCCACTCCATCTCCTGCGGGAAGCCTTGCCCTGCCTGGGGGTGCCTGCGGAGGAATCCCACTTGCTCTTTCAGAAGCCCTTCTCCAGCTCTCCTCCCGCCTGCCTCCCTTGGGTTTCGGCTCTCAAAACACAATCCGTGGTCTGCAGTAGGGACTTTGCTGTTTGTCTCCCAGGGCACCCCTGGCCTCCTCTGCGCGGGGTGTTTGTGGGATGTGGCCCTGTGTGTGCAGCCAGCAGAAGTCCTTGAAGCCGCTCTGTATAAACAGTCTGTTGTTCAAGTTGTGGTTCCCAGGGCTGTAACAGCTGCTCTCTTCTGTGCTGCAGCCAAATGCCTTGTCCCGGGGCAGCCACCTTCCCCCGGCCCCTTCCGTCACGCTCGAAGCAACGACATGTTGTGAGAATTTAGTGCTAGTGGAAACTTAAAATCTTAATGGTCTAATCGCAGAATTATTACTAGATCTGTTGCAGAAGAAGAAAATACTGCTACAGAGAAAGTTTCAGCAATAACATCGCTAACACTTGATTTATATATGTTGAGTAATTGCTCTTTGTTACTTCTGAAATAAGTTTTGCCCAACTCCCCAGTTTTTTTTATCCAGCAGTCAGTGGCCGCTGGAGTTGTGTGACTGTGAGGTTTAAAGCCCTGGTGTCTTCAGGATGATCCTGCGCCTCTCTCATCCAGCGCCCGTACTCTTCTGTGACTGCACCTTTATACTGTGTCCATAAATACTTTGTGGTATGCAGAGCAGCTTTTTACTACTCTGTATACAAAAGCTGGATCACACAGTTATACGGCATTAAGCAAAAGCAAAATGAATTAAGCAATGACCGTCTCGTCGTTAGAAAACTGCTGTTACAGGTGTGCAAGCTAAAACAGAGGGAGCCTGAGGCAGGTGGTCCTGTTGAACCGTGTGAGCGTGGTTCTGCTGCAGGAGGACACTGGTGGCTATAAACTTGTGGTTTCTTACACAGAATTGGGAGGTTTTGTGGGGAGGAGTCAGCATCGTCCCCCTTTATGGGAATTGCCGTGCTGTGCCTGCTGATGCGGGGTCCTGCGACACCCACCTGGCACAGGGCAGAGCCTGGGAGAGCTGGGCTGAGGCTGGCTGGGCTGCAGCTCGTGCTCCCCACGTGTGCCTGGGACAGGGACGGCCCTGCAGTGGCTGCCCTCCCTCCACACCTGCGCCGACAGCAGCACCTTACCAGGACATCGCCATTAACCAGCCTGCCGGTTTCTTTTGGTGTTTCAGGCTCTCCTTCCACAGCCTCCTAGCCAAGGCCCAAGATGCAGGCAGATTCTCTTCTTCACAGTGGCTACTTCCACCCTGTGCTACGCTCCTGGCAGTGTACGGCAACCACCTTCGATGCCTCCAACCTCATCTACCCCATTTTTGTCACGTGAGTGAGCCCTGGTTCTCTGGGTTAGGGATGACCAAGCTCAGGTTGACTGGCTTAGGTGCTCCCTGAGCTCTTAGATAGGTTCAGATTCCCCGTGGACAAGCCTGGGATAGGGGCTTCCTTCTCACACCGAGTCCTCACGTCTCTGTCCCATCCACCTCCTGCAGTGACAGCCCTGATGCAGTGGAACCGATCTCCAGCCTCCCTGGACAAGCCAGGTAAGAATCCAGCCCCACCGAGCTGTGTGCCGTGCCCTGTGCCCCAGCAGGCTTGACGTATGGCCTGAGATGAGCATGAGCCAGGGGGGATGCTTCCAACCCTCTGTGCTCCCTGCCTTGGGGATCCCCCAGCATCAGGCAGGGTGGGAGCATTTGTCCACTAAGGGAGTGGAGGGAATCATACTGGGAATGCTGGGAAAGTACCAGTACAGGCAGGGATAGAGCCAGGGTCTCGCAATGTCCCAGAGCACTCATTGGCGGGGAAGTTGGAAGCGAATGGGATTTCCAGCAGCACCTAGAAAACCTGTACAAGGACATGGGCTCAGGTCTTGCACTGGATCTTGCTGGACTGGCAGCTCCTGTCTTCATCTGCTGCCACATCAGCAGGGTTGTGGTCAGAGGGGCCCCAGAGGGCTGGTCCTATGGGGAGATGGGCTGGATCTGCTTCAGGGGCGCCAAGATAAGGGATCCAAGGGCAGGGCATGCTCATCCTTTCAGAGCAGAGTGTCCATGCCGGGTAGATAATGCTCCTGTAGCCCCAGATAAGGTCCCAGATTGTTCCTCCCAGTGTTCAGGCAACACCTCCCCTGTACCTCCAGCTGCTGCTTGGCGTGGATGCTGGATCGCTCACAGACCAGCAGCCAAGTCACAGACCAGCTCGCCCCACGGAGCAGGTCTGGGTGCCTGGCAGCCCCCTTCACTTTACTTTTCTCAGGTATGGAGTCAACAAACTGGAGGGGATGCTACGTCCCCTCATCAAAGACGGTCTGAAGTGTGTGCTCATCTTTGGGGTGCCCAGCAAGGTCCACAAGGTCAGTGTGCGTGGTGGTGGCTGGGGGCTTGGGGTAGCCACAGGGGTGTGGGAGAGCAGTGTGGAGCTGGGGGGGTCTTCTGATCAAACAGGAGCAGTTCAGGGTCTCTGGGCATGCTCACACCCTGCTCAGCAGAGCAGGATGGGGATGGGAGACTGCAGTGACACCAAAAAAGCTCCCAGAGCTCTTGCAGGTGGCCTTGAGACCTGCACTGGCTGCTCAGCGGCACTACTCCATTGCCCTCTTCTATCGCTGGTGGTCACGCCGCCCTGCATTACAGGGTCTCATGGTTCAGAAAACATTTCCTGGGCAGAACTGCTGTGGGAAGCCCTTGGCTGTGCCTGCTGAGACATTTCTTTTCTCACAGGATGAGAGAGGCTCTGCTGCTGATGCAGAGGACACACCTGCCATCCAGGCAATCAAGAAGATCAGCTCCACCTTCCCAGAGCTGCTAATTGCTTGCGATGTCTGTTTGTGCCCTTACACCTCCCACGGGCACTGTGGTGAGTACACAGCCTGGGGTCCTGGGCTGCTCTTCAGGTGTTTTGCTGGCACTGGGAGTTTCCGGGGTTTTGTCACTTTCTGATGAGGAGCAACATGTGCTGGTGGGGTCTGGCCACCTCCTGCCCCAAGTCTTGGGTCCCCAGTACTGGTGCAGTTGAGCCTGGGAGACCTCTTCTGGCTTTTGACAGCAGGGTGGGAGGCATGGGTAGTTAAGGCACCCACTCAAATCATCTGAATCTGTCTGAGTGCCCGTCTGCATCCCCCATCTCTGCCTTCCCTTCCCTTCCCTTCCCTGGAGCACCCACATGTTGTGTCCAGTCCCGGGAGGGCTGTGTCGATAGTCTCCTGGGCCTTACCCAGCTCCCTTAACACAGTCCCTGCTGTTGCTCTGAGCATCTCCATAGCTTGTCCTGAGAGCCACACTCCCACCCTAGGGATTGAGGCAACTGACTGTCCAGCCCGTTGTGTAACTCCGGGTTTGTCTCCTAGGCATCCTGCGCGAAGACGGCACCATCCAGAACGAGCTCAGCTGCCAGCGGCTGGCAGAAGTGGCGCTGGCCTATGCCAAAGCAGGTGGGGAGTCTCCTGGCAGCAGTACCCAAGTTTGACTCACAGACTTGCCCCCCTCTCACTTTCAGCAGGCCCAAAAGCAAGCTGGGCCTGGCTCCAACTGGGAGTGCTTCTGCTCCGAGCTGGGGGAGGCTCCCCCTGCCCTCCACGCACCGGCCCCAGCAGAGCTGTGGGCACCCGGGGGCCCCTTTGGCCCTGGGGTCACCTCCTCCTGCAGAGTCAGAGCCTCGGGCACCTCTCAGCGTCTCTGGTCTTTCCCTGCAGGCTGCCACATCGTTGCCCCCTCGGATATGATGGATGGACGCATCGCGGCCATGAAGAAGGCGCTGATCTCCAATGACTTGGGCAATAAGGTGAGCTCAGGATCTGCCTGTGCCAAAGGCAGGAGTGATGTCCGTGGGGACGCTGCACCACAACAGGACCTGGGCAAGCAGTGGGAGAAGCAAACCCAGGATGTGCCGCGGGCATTTCCCTGCCCTGGTGCACACAGGAAAGGAATGTCCTTGGGTGGACATGAGGACAGCGAGGTGGCAGGCCTCTGGCAGGGGAAGGAGGATGTGGGGCAGCGTATAAAACAGCTGTGGGGGGGGAATCACTACTGCCCCAGTGCCGGGATGCAGCACCAGGCTTCTGACCCTCGTGGCTCTGCTCTCCTCTGCAGGTCTCAGTGATGAGCTACAGTGCCAAGTTTGCTTCGTGCTTCTATGGTCCCTTCAGGTGGGTCTGTCCCGCAGCCAGGAGTGTCCCCAGCCAGGCCGGCCTGGCCAGGAAGTGTGTCCCCAGTTAGTTATTTGGGAAGGGGGCTCTGCCAGAGCCTGGGCTGCAGCTGGGGCCATGCTGGTTGCTTTGGAGCACCATCCTTCTACTTCCCAGTGCAAAAGGGAGACAAATGTACCTTGCCCAGGAGAGGCTGGCTGGTGGGAAGATCACCTGGGTGATCTTCTCATCCCACCCCTTCACCTGCTCGTCCTGGGTGCTGGTGGCAAGGCAGGCAAAGGAGAGGGGGCTTGCAGGAGGAGCCCGTGTTGCCCCAAAGGGTGGTTTCAGGGACAAGCCTCAGCTCAGTCAGCTACTAGACCTCGTCCGAAGAACCGGCCTGACCCCGATGGGGCGTCCCTGAGGAACCTGCCTTGGAAAGGAGCAAAAGGAACACATCTGGCAAAATTTTACCCCAGATGCTGGGTATGGGAAGGGCAGCGGGTGTGAAGCACAGCTTGCAGGGCCAGTCTGGGCCTGTCAGACCTCTCGGAGTGATCCTGGGGTGCTGAGGTGGGTCAGGAGAGCCCCCATTTTCCTGGCCCTGATGGCTCAGATACTTGTCCTAGTCTGTCCTCATGTTTCTGGAACTGTTCGAGGTGAGAGGCAGAGGGAGCTGTGCTGGTCCTCATCCTCTGCCCTCTCTCTTGCCCGTCACCAGGGATGCTGCGCTATCCAAACCTGCCTTCGGAGACAGGCGATGCTACCAGCTGCCACCGGGCTCCCGGGGCCTGGCAATGCGTGCTGTGGTGAGTGAGCCAGGATCGGGCTGTCTAGGGCAGCGCCGAGGGTGGGTTTATGGCTGTGGGGACTAGAAAACCCTCATGTGGCGCCCAGGCAACAAGCCTTCACACCCAGCAGTGCAGCAGGGTTTGGGGAGAGCAAGATCAGGGGTGCTGGAGTCAAAAGGGGGTAGGAGGCACACCAGCTGAAATGGTCAAGGGTCTGCCCCCTCCACAAGCAAGAGAAACGTGAGGCCCATCAGCCTGCCAGAGAGCTGGTCCCCAGGATGGGCTTGAGGACCATACGCCAGGAGCTGTGGAGCTGGTGACCCCATACGCCGCTGGTGTCAGGTCCAGGAATACACAGTTACCGGCTTTCCCCAGGCCCTGCGTGTCTGGTGAGGGAGTATCAGCTTCCCCATCACAGCCTGTCCGCGGACTCCTGTGGCCATTAGGGGCTCGCCAGACCCTTCTGTGATCCCTCCTGGGAAAAGCAACCACCAGGCCAAAACTTCTGGGGAAAACCAACTGCGGACTTGCTGGAAAACATTCTTCTACCCCAAAGTGCCGGGGTGACACGCGTGTTCCCCTTGCAGGACCGGGATGTGCGTGAGGGAGCAGACATGCTGATGGTGAAGCCGGGGATGCCCTACCTGGACCTCGTGAGGGATGTCAAGGCTCGAGTAAGCTCTTTCTGTGCCAGCGAGGGCACAGGGTGTCCCTGGAGGAGGAGGGGGAGAGGTGCGCGTTCAGGATGGCCAGTTTGGATATCCGAACTGGAGGGGCTGTGACTCCTGGTTTCACGTGTTGAGGTGGGTGCTGGGGCACCTCTGGGAGCACTG